AATGATATAGAAAGTGACCTATCCAGTAAGCCTCTAGAGGGAGCTTTATATAGAAAGCCAAAAAAATTTCAAACATGTCCCTTCCAACTAAAAAATGCTTCTTGCATCTGCAAAAAAACTCGCTTAAACAAAAACTTTTCCAACTTATACAAATAGATTAATTCATACAAACAACTTTATCCATATAGAACTTAATAAAAAATCAATCAAACGGCCCCTAAATCTAATGTAGTAATGCCAAACCTCAAAGTAATCAAAAGTCAAAAGAACAATAATAAATTGTAAAATTTGTAATCTATGTTACTGTGCATTGTAAAGAACAAATGCCCAATAATTAAGACAATATCACAATATGTTGTTAATCTTGTGCAATATGCTCCAGCTATGCTGATACAATGATGTGCTCATATGCGTTGAAATTTTTAATTCTCAGATATTTCAATATGCAAGAGAAGACTCATTATCAAAATGACAAAAGCCCCTTAGCCAGTTAGCCTTAGCCTAGTAAGTCAGTAACCCACACGACCACATGACCCAACTTTATAATAATCAGTTAGGAATTTAGAATTTTTTTCCAAAAAGATTTAAAGATTCATAAATCATTATATGACTCACATAGCAACTCGGTAAGTTCAATCAACACTAGAAATTACTCGTTCGGGATTTCCATCTTTGATTTCTTGAATCTAATTTCGTGACTGTTAATCGGTTGGAAAGAGAACTCCATACCTTGAAAATCAAAATAGTCGAACTTTGAAGAACAATAGAAATTAGATTGAGTTGTTGGAATGATGACGTTAACTGGTATACGATGTGCATTCAGTATTCATCACTACTAGACCTCGAGCCTGTTTTTATAGTTAAAGCTCAGTTGTCCAATTTCCAAGTTATTAAATCCAAAACTAGTAATAGATGACAACTTGATGTCCCTTTAGGCTTTGATGCGCTGTGCGCCGACCCAATTATAAAACATGCTAAACGGTTATTATTGGATTTTTAAGATGTATAAATTTTGATCCATTATGTACAATTTTTGAACATTTACAACCTCCACGTTCAATATGATAATTAAAAATAAAATTATATTTTATACTAAATTACACTTTATACCTTTATAATTAGTTATTTAAATTACTTTATATCTCCTTTTTTCCTATTTTTCATTACACCTTCTCATATTAACATATGTAACTATATATTATCAAAAATATATTTAAAAACATTTGTTTTTTTTCTATAAATTATATCATTATAATCGTCTCCTCAGTACCTTCAAAATGAACCAAAGATCAAATATTATTGAATTTATTAATATTATTAAATATGATAAATACTTACTGTAACACCCTAATTTCAAGTACAAGGTGTCACGTAATAAAATAAAATAAAATCCAAATTTTAGAGGCTAATAAGGCCTTATTGCAGCAGAAGTCTTACAATAATTTAATCGTAATTAATATCTCAAAACTAACCCATCCCATATCGGGTTACATTACATATAACTTCAATTAAATACTACGGATTTTATAATTCCTAACTCGAATAATAGTTCTATTTTCTACGCAGAACCTTTGCCCTTTTTCATTCTTCAACACCCAGCTCCTGAGATGCATACTAATAGTTAGCTTTATAAAGCTCAGTGAGTTCATGATTTTTATGCATAATCACACATATCTCATCATGCATAAAATAAACAATACCCCAAAAAAAATGCACATCTGTTTCAACCCCTTTTGAAATAATAATGAGATCTCTTAATTTCCCGTCGGGTTAAGGTCTTAGCATCATCGGCACTTCCCTGTGTTACATGGCTATCCCTTGTCCGGTCACCCATCCCTAGGATGTGCCATCCCTTATGACTCTTGACCCCTTCCCATACTCGACAAAAATATAAATTCTTTTATAACATGCTAATTAATGTTTAAAAACATGTAAACAAATAGCATGCAACCCACAATAATAATTCATATACGTAATAAACTCATAAACATGTACATAAAAATATATCGTAATGCTCAAATAATTTGTACATAAGCATGCATCCCAGTTAAAGTCTCATGAATACTAACCTGACTGTGTAAATTGTCGAATGATCTCCCTGATTAATAACCTACAATTATGAAACCATAATAGTCAATTAATGACTAGGTTTTCTTCAAAAATCGACCCAAAGTCAAAACTATGTTAACAAGATCAAACGTAGTGACTTTTGAAGTTACCCCTTAGTCAACTCGATTTACCTATGTCGAATATTGTTAAACCCCAAGCTTTAAGTTTTACAACGTTCTATAACGTCAATTTGACATTTTATAATATTTCCAACTCCTAATTAAAAGAATTATAAGGAGTCTCACATTTGTTTTATAGTTCAATCGAGGCTAAAAACGATACGACATCGGGTTTAAACCACCGTCGGTTTAACTGTCGTCGTTCAAGGCAATGGCTATTAATCGGTAACCTTTAGGCCGCCGTTGCAACCAAATAACCCCACCAATCAAGACATTAAGAAGTTTTTACATAAAAATAAGATGTTATCTTAAACATAAATTATTACCTTATCGATGCTTGAATGCTTACGAACTCGAATTCCCACCTTCGATTCGTAGTCTCGTATATACTGAATAATCGAATTGTTGTCGCTTCATTCTTTCGTTAATTGTGCTTAAAGCCAAATTACTTGATCAATTTTTTATCTGATCATTGTGCTTTAAAGAAATAATATTTTGATCAACCATTGTGATCAAATGTGCATAACGCTAAATTTTAGGAGGGACTGAGTGCTTATCAGAAATACCTCTA